GGGGGGGAGAGAAACACCCCCGTGAAGCAACTCTTGCCAACCCTCAAAGCGTCTTAGTCTTTCTGGGGGTTTCATCCAGTGGATTCTGCTAGAGAGATACAGAGAGGGGGGAAGAGAGAGAAAGAGAGAGAGAGATACAGAGAGAGAGATGCAGAGAGAGAAGGGGAGGGAGAAAGAGGGAGGGAGAGACAGGGAGGGAGAGACAGGGAGAGAGGGAGACATAAAAGTGATAGGGAGAGAGGGGGAGGGGGAGAGAGAGACAAAGAGTAATAAAGAGAGGGGGAGAGAGAGAAGGGAAGATAGAGAGGGGGGAGAGAGAGAGATACAGAGAGAGAGGGAGGGAGGAAGAGAGGGGGGAGAGAGTGACATAGAGTGATAGAAAGAGAGAGGGGAGAGAGAGAGAGAGTAATAGGGAGAGGAGAGGAGAGGAGAGGAGAGGAGAGGAGAGGAGAGGGGGAGAGAGAGACACAGAGTGATAGAGAGAGAGAAGGGGAGAGAGAGGGGAAGATAGACAGGGAGAGGGGGAGGGAGGGAGGGGGAGAGAGAGAGACGGAGCATGATATATAGAGAGAGGGCAAGAAAGAGAGGGAGAGGGAGAAAGAGTGATATAGAGAGAGGGGGAAAGAGGGGAGAGACACAGTGAGAGATACAGAGAGAGGGGGAGGGAGAGGGGGGAGGGAGAGAGAGAGATATAGAGTGATATAGAGAGAGGAGAAGATAGAGAGGGAGAGGGGGAGAGAGAACGATACAGAGAAAGAGGGAGGGAGGAAGAGAGGAGGAGAGAAAGAGAGAGACAGAGAGAGACATAGAGAGAGAGAAGGGAGAGAGAGAGAGAAGGGTGTTGGGGTTCCTGGAGGTGTTTTTTTTAACAACCGGTTCTCTGCCCTAAGGACTGACGGTGTGGGCGTGGCTGGGGGGGGCGGGTCCTGTGGCTGGGTGGGAGTGAGTGACATTGAGCCGGCCACGCCCACCCAGGTGTTGTGGCTCCAGGTGTTTCCTTTTTCCCTCTGGGAAAAGGGTCCAAATGGCTCTTCGAGTGTTTAAGGTTGCAGCCCCCACCCCATGCTAGGGGTTTGCCCGGACCCCCTTAATGAATGAGAGAATTAAGGGGAGGGGAGGGCAAGGGAGGGGCAAGGAATCAGGACGATGGGTTAGGTTGCCCCCAGAGGGTGGATCCAAGGCCATAAATGAGAACCTGGACGGCTCGAGTTCAGAGCAATCTGGCAGCCAGATAAAGAGCGGCGTAAAGTCCATTATTCTGTAGAGGGGAGCTCAACTGGCCGTTGGGTGGTTTGATCTTTTATTGATTGACGCAACAATTCTTAGTACGGCTGTGTTGGGAGCCAACTTCAAAAGGACAGTTAATGGGACTCTGGTTTTCAAGAGACCTTCATTGTTCAGCAGCGGGACGCTTAAAATAATTATTTTACACACCACCAAATGAGAAACATTCATGTATCGATCCTTTAACCCTTTTTTTAAAAAAAAAAAGGTTTTTTTTTATATTTATATATAAGCATTTTGAATACAACGTATTGTCCGGGCATACCATTTTACAAAAGAGAAAAAGGGAAAAAGAAAAAAGAAATAGTAACGTATATACCGATAGCAACAGAATGATTCTAACCATATTTATAATGATACTAGCTCGATATGGTATAATAGTTTATGGGGAAGAAAATAACAGGGGGGAGGAAATTCTGCCTCTGCCTACCAGCATCCATCGGTATTCATCTGGCTAGCGTCCTGTCAGTGTGTGAGAGAGTTGAGGGCTGTTTGGAAAGTGAAACAGTATTTGCTGTGTGAGCAAGGAGGAGACAGCAAGGAGTCTGGGCGTGGCTTAGCTCAACTGTTCTGTACCAAAGCTGTGAAACTGAAACGGAAACTCCTCTCCTCTGCTTGTGTTTTGCCTTTGGAAGAGATTTCCTTTCAGTTGGGGAGGGGGAGTAGAACTCCTTAGTATCAGAGCGTGTTAATAATAATAATAATAATAATATAGGAAATACTCTAAATGCTCTGATGGCCACTTGGAAAAATCCTTTCTTAGTGAGCACCTAGAAGCCAAGAGGAACATACGTGCCAAATTTCAAGTTTTTAGGCTTTACAGTTCTGGAGAGTTTGCGATGATGCATGAGGGGCATTTCGCTTTAATATAGAGAGATGAGCTTATTTGTAATGCTGTTGATTATACACTGCTCAAAAAAATAAAGGGAACACAACAATAAGACCTCCTAGATCTGAATGAATGAAATATTCTTATGAAATACTTTGTTCGTTACATAGTTGAATGTGCTGACAACAAAATCACACAAAAATTATCAATGGAAATCAAATTGAGCAACCCGTGGAGGTCTGGATTTGGAGTTACACTCAAAATTAAAAGTGGGAAAAAACACTACAGGCTGATCCAACTTTGATGTAATGTCCTTAAAACAAGTCAACATGAGGCTCAGTAGCGTGTGTGGCCTCCACGTGCCTGTATGACCTCCCTACAACGCCTGGGCATGCACCTGATGAGGTGGAGGATGGTCTCCTGAGGGATCTCCTCCCACACCTGGACTAAAGCATCCCCCAACTCCCGGACAGTCTGTGGTGCAACGTGGCGTTGGTGGATGGAGCGAGACATGATGTCCCAGATGTGCTCCATTGGATTCAGGTCTGGGGAACGGGCGGGCCAGTCCATAGCCATCAATGCCTTCGTCTTGCAGGAACTGCTGACACACTCCAGCCACATGAAGTCTAGCATTGTCGTGCATTAGGAGGAACCCAGGGCCAACTGCACCAGCATATGGTCTCACAAGGGGGCTGAGGATCTCATCTCGGTACCTAATGGCAGTCAGGCTACCTCTGGCGAGCACATGGAGGGCTGTGCGGCCCCCTAAAGAAATGCCACCCCACACCATTACTGACCCACTGCCAAACCGGTCATGCTGGAGGATGTTGCAGGCAGCAGAACGTTCTCCACAGCGTCTCCAGACCCTGTCACGTCTGTCACATGTGCTCAGGGTGAACCTGGTTTCATCTGTGAAGAGCACAGGGCGCCAGTGGCGAATTTGCCAATCTTGGTGTTCTCTGGCAAATGCCAAACATCCTGCATGGTGTTGGGCTGTAAGCACAACCCCCACCTGTGGACGTCGGGCCCTCATACCACCCTCATGGAGTCTGTTTCTGACCGTTTGAGCAGCCACATGCACATTTGTGGCCCACTGGAGGTCATTTTGCAGGGCTCTGGCAGTGTTCCTCCTGTCCCTCCTTGCACAAAGGCGGAGGTAGCAGTCCTGATGCTGGGTTGTTGCCCTCCTACAGCCTCCTCCATGTCTCCTGATGTACTGGCCTGTCTCCTGGTAGCGCCTCCATGTTCTGGACACTACGCTGACAGACACAGCAAACCTTCTTGCCACAGCTCGCATTGATGTGCCATCCTGGATGAGCTGCACTACCTGAGCCACTTGTGTGGGTTGTAGACTCCGTCTCATGCTACCACTAGAGTGAAAGCACCGCCAGCATTCAAAAGTGACCAAACCATCAGCCAGAAAGCATAAGAACTGAAAAGTGGTCTGTGGTCACCACCTGCAGAACCACTCCTTTCTTGGGGATGTCTTGCTAACTGCCTCTGCTTTCCACCTGTTGTCTATTCCATTTGCACAACATTTGCATGTGAAATTGATTGTCAGTCAGTGTTGCTACCTAAGTGGACAGTTTGATTTCACAGAAGTGTGACTGACTTGGAGTTACATTGTGTTGTTTAAGTGTTCTCTTTATTTTT